GGCTGGCCTCTGATCCCTTTGGGCACCAGGCCATGCCGGCTGCTGGGGCTGAGAACTCAGGTTCAAAATCTGCCGGGGGGAGCAGATGACCGGCTGAACCTGAGGGCAGGGCAGTGACTGAGAGGGTGAGAGGGGTGGACAGTGCAGTGGTTCAAGCCACACACTTGCTGTAACCCGCTCACCCCTCGTTAGCTCCACCTCTCCCTCTCCCCCCAGCCTGGACCAGCAGTGGTCACATCAGCCAGGCCTCTCCCGGGGTCTCTCCTCCCCCCGTCCTGGGAGATTCCAGCTGTTCCAGACCCCAACCTTCAGGACCCCTCTGGGTGGCTGCCTCCCAGAAGGGGAGGGGCACTTCCTGAACTTCCGGCTTCCAGCCCTTGCCCCTGGCCTCCCTGCAGGTCAGAGGCTGCGGCCTGGGGGCCAGGCAGGACCGAGGCTGAGAACCCCCGCCCCAGGTGGCCCTCTGGAGAAGGAGCTGCTGGGGCCCTTCAGAACACCCCCCCAGTCCGACATGCGCTCCCCCCCCCTCGGGCCTGCAGCGGTGCCAGCTCCCAGGGCAGGCGCCACAAAAGGAACCGCGGCTGCTGGAACCTCCGTTGCCATGGGGACCAGGACCACAGGGCCCACATCTGGTAGCGATTGAGGAGGAAAAATTATGAGTCGTGGAAAACGCAAATATTTTTTGTAGCACAGAGCACAAAGGAGCGGGAGGAATGTGGGGCTGGAGAAGGCCTGAGCCCAGCCGGGTTCCAAACAGGAACGCAGGCGAGCGCGCGCACACACACACACACACACACGCACACACACGCACACACACACACACACACACACACACACACACACACACTGACACATACACTGCCAGACTCACAGAAATGCTGAGACACTCGCAACACAAAACACACCACCAGACCCACAAAAACACGGAGATGATTTAAAGAAACACTGCCTCTCCAACACAAACACAATCTACCACACTCACACACACACACATCGTGAAACTTTGGACTCTGCACACACACACACACACACACACACACACACACCAGATGAATCAAGCACTGGGAGAGACATGAACTACAACAAGCATACACGTACAGCCTGCCCACAGGAACACAGGAGGCATCATCACCCCGCAACACACACACACACACACACACACACACAGTCCAGATGATGCACAGAACAGAAAAGACTCGCTTCACAATACACACTATGTTTTGTAGATACAGGAACACCAGGAGAGATGCTTGTTGCAATGCACACACACACACACAGCCCAAAAACACCGAGAGGCAATCACATACACCCTCCACCGGTGGACATGCTGAGACCCCTACACTCCGTGCAACACACACACACACCGCCAGATCCAGAGAACCATGAGGCACATACCTTATAAAACAGCCACACCAAGAAACAGACACAGCCCACAACAAACAGAAACACAGGAACAGACAGACAGACAGCCTGCAACAGCCACACAGCCCACCAGACCCAACTGAATGCTGAGACAGGCCCTCGCTCTGAAACACGCACGCGCACGGAGAGAAACAAAGAGATGCGTTCTGCACACGCACAGCCTGCCTCCACACACACACACACACACACACACACACACGCACACACACGGTGGAAACACACAACCCACCAAGCACTCAGAAAATGGCGAGTTGAGATTTCCCCGAGCCCCACGCGTATACTGGGGCACAGGAAAGGCAGCGATGGTGGGGAGACGCCCCCATTTTGCGCTCTGAGCAATGGCTGGGCCTGAAGGACCACTTTGCCCTCCCTCTTCCTCATGCTCCTTGTTTACCTGCCTCCTGAGAAACCCAAGTCCTTCCTCTCTTGGCAGATGTTCCTCATTAGTGAGCCTTCTTCCTGTTGCCGTGGCCCGAATAACAGCACCGCCCTGGGCGCCAGCCACGTTCCCCGTTCCCCCCGCAGTCCCGGGGCCCTGAGTGGTATGGACTGAACCTTGCCCCTGGGTCCCCATTTATTCCTCCAGGGAGTGGGCCTCCTGACCGGCAAGCCTGGACCTCCGCTCCCCCGGGCAGCCCCCTCTGGTCCTGTGCTCTGGGCTCATGTTCATGGTTACACAGTTAGAAGTGGATTTTCGTTCTTTTTTTTTTTTGAGGACAAGTTGATTTCTGGTACCAGATTTTTTCCATTTCATGACCTGACGGCTTGGTCTTTTCCTCAGGTAGTCTTATCTATTTGTGTGTTTGTCTGTTTTGAGTTTGAATCAATTAAGAGTTTAGCCGAAACCGATTTGGCTCAGTGGATAGAGTGTCGGTCTGCGGACTGAGGGGTCCCAGGTTCGATTCCAGTTGGGGGCATGTACCTTGGTTGCAGGCACATCCCTGGTAGGGGGTGTGCAGAAGGCAGCTGATCAATGTCTCTCTCATCGATGTTTCTGGCTCTCTGTCCTTCTCCCTTCCTCTCTGTAAATAAATTTTTTATTAAAAAAAAAAAAAAAAAAGAAAGGAAAAAGTTTATACCCACTGGGAAGGCGAGTTGGAGACGGGGCCAGTGGATGGAAAGAGTGGTGCTTCCACAAAAGCTTCCTTGAGGTCCAGCGGAGAGGCTGTGATGAACAGGTGAGCGAGTGGTGCCGCTGACGTGTCCAACAATCGGTACACATAGGTGACGCGCACCCCGATGCTTGGCAATGCCTCCTTCGAGGACAGCAGTCCGTGGGTGGGGTTAGGAGAGCAAAGGTCTGGGAAGCAGAGAGCCAGACTTGAAAGACAGGTGAGGTTGGGGCCCAGGAGGAGGAAGAGGAGGGGAAGTGGGAGAGGAAGGGGAAGTCTAGGTGGAGGAGCCATCTGAAGGGGTACATGAATCAGGGATGATTGCACCTGGGATCATCACCAGGGACAGTCCATCTTCTGGTGAGGTCCAGTTGCAGGGCTGAGGTCACTTGGTTTAGTCAAGAAGTTGGTTAGTGCCTGGCCAATGTGGTCCAGTGGTTGAATGTTGACCCATGCACCAAAAGGGCACTGATTCAATTCCCGGTCAGGGCACCTGCCCAGGTTGTGGACTCGATCCCCAGTAGATGGTGTGTGTGGGGGATGGGAGGGGAGCTTCTATTTGCTATTTGTATTGGGCTTGGAGTTGCCCCTGCGAGGTCCATCCCCTACTGGAGATGTGCTTGCAACCAAGATACATGCTCTAGACCAGAATCAAACCTGGGACCCTTCAGTCCACAGGCCGACACTATATCCACTGAGCCAAACCCGTGTCACATTTCTTTTTAGCACTGAATACTATTCCATTGCCTTAATGTGCCAGTTTACTATCCGTTCACCTACTGAAGGACATCGTGGTGGCCTCCTGTGTTTTTTTATTAATGGTCTGACATACATTTTGAGAAGAGAGGTGCAAGCATGGGTCAGGAGACCGTACAGTGGACATTCTGGATGCGTGTGCTGCCTTCTGTGGGACGGACTCCGGGAGTGTATTTATTAATAGAACAGCCCATAGGACTGCCTCCTGACCCTGGGGAACGCAGTGGGAATGGAACAATGGTGCCATCTAGCGGTTGGCTGTGGCAGCATAGTGACGAGCCCAGATAGGCCTGGGTGACAGGACAGCTGTGATACAGCGCTCCTGCTGATAGAGGGGTCCTCCAGGGAGATGCGGTGTCCAAGGCCCATGTTATTCCCCAAAGCAGGCTAAACCCGGTGAGAAAAACCAGGAGGCCGAGGGGTAGCATCTGCCTTGGTGTGGGGGCTACTGATATCAGCTGAGACAGGGTGCACCCTGATCAGCATGGTGTAGTGTGGACCAGTGGCTCTGTGTGCATCTCACGGAGACACAGAGCCTCGTGCCTCACCATCACCCATCCTCGCTCCATGCTCTGTGCAAAAGTGACCGCTGCATCTCCCCAGGAATGTGCTACCTGTGGGCAGGCAAGTAATGAGTGCTGCGCCCCTTCAAAAGTGTATGTAGCCGAAACCGGTTTGGCTCAGTGGATAGAGCATCGGCCTGCGGACTGAAGGGTCCCGGGTTCGATTCTGGTCAAGGGCATGTACTTTGGTTGCGGGCACATCCCCAGTGGGGGGTGTGCAGGAGGCAGCTGGTCTATGTTTGTCTCTCATTGATGTTTCTAGCTCTCTATCCTTCTCCCTTCCTCTCTGTAAAAAAATCAATAAAATATATATATTTTAAAAATATGTGGGGAGGGGTTTGGGGTGGGAATGGGGGGATGAGGACAATTATGTGATATCATAATCAATCAAAAAAAAAAAAAAAAGGTTGTCTGGGGCCGGTTTGGCTCAATGAATGGAGCGTTGGCCCGCAGACTGAAAGGTCCCGGGTTCAAATCTGGTCAGGGACATGTGCCTTGGTTGCGGGCACATCCCCAGTGGGAGGTGTGCGGGAGGCAGCTGATCGATGATTCTCTCTCATCGATGTTTCTAACTCTATTCCTCTCTCTTCCTCTCTGTAAAAAAATCAATAAAATATATTTAAAAAAATAAAAAGGTTGGTCTGAAGATGGCAGTGACAAATACCCTGGAAGTGTCACTGGGGGGAATTATAACACTCTCCTGCTGAACTTCCTCAGGCGATGCACTTCTCATTTCACTGCACAACTTTCAGCTGTTCCTCTCCAACGAGCACATCAGTGGGCATTTGGAAATTACTAAAAAGCCAGAAGAACACAACAATCTTTCTGTTCCCTCCTCCAAAAGTTTTCTGTTTTCTTTTTTGAAAGGAAGGTCCCCTGGTTATAAGACCAGGGACACATTGCTTTTATTTATTTTTTATTATTTTGAATGTTTATTTTTGTTGATTTCAGAGAGAGGAAGGGAGAGGGGGAGAGATAGAAACATCAATGATGAGAGAGAATCATCAATCAGCTGCCTTCTGCATGCTCCTCACTGGGGATCAAGCCTGCAACCCTGGGCAAAAGGCAGACACCAGGGGACGCAGAGGGGCCCCTCAAAGCCTCTGGGCTCCACAGGCTCCTGGTCGTGTTGGGGAGGGTGGGGGAAGCCTTTGGAAGAGACACTCGCCCAGCCCAGCCCGGGGGCGGCCGCCTGCGGAGGGAGTCAGGTGCTGCCCACCTTCTTGATGCGCTTCCCCTGCTCACCCCGGAAGTGGTTCTCCCGGAAGTCACAGAGCTGAGGGTGCGCGGGCGGACCCCGGGCCTGCAGCTCCACAGGGGCCTGGCTCAGGCTCCCCTCCACGGCCACCCGCTCACCCTGGGAGGCCTCAGCGCGTCCTGGGAGGGAATGTGGCCGCCTCGCTGGCTTTGCATGTTTAAGAGACACTCGGGCCCTGGAGCTTCTTCGCCGCCGCCATCTCTCGGGAGCCGAGGCCCGCGCCCTCGAGAGCCACATCTTCGCGGCGGAAACTGGAGCCCGGAGAGAGGTAGGTGCGGGGCCCGCAGACAGGCTGGCCGGGGGGTTGACCGCAGCCTCGGCCTCGGGGAAATAATTCTGACAAATCTGGGAGCTCATGGCGGTTGGGCAACAGGAGTTAAGGTGGATGAAAACCCGGCGTGCTGGCTGGTCTTGAAGGCGGTGACTGGATGAGACGCCAGGGGTGGTCGGAGGCTGGAAGAAGGGGGGTCCCTGGGTCTGTTCGGTCCAAACACTGTTGAGGCAGGAGACAGACCGGGACCGCCGAGGGCACTGCCAGATTTTGGTTTTGATGTTTGACCCCTAACAATAGTCAGGCCCTATTTTCCTTCCGCCCCACAAGGCACTCCCATGGCGCCCGTGAAACTTCATTGGGGGCCCAGCCCCCACTGGAGAACGGGCCCCAACCCCAGCCCAGGCTGGGCTGCAGGCCGGAGGCACCCTGGGCAGGAGCCGCGTGTGCCACCTGCTCTCTCCACCGAGCCTGTGGTGGGATTCATAAGTGGCTTTCAAACGTTCCTGTTGTGTGGGAGGTCATCAGCCTGGACAGCGGAGCTATTCATTGGGGGTGAGTCCATCACATTTTCAGGGAGTGACCACGGGGTAACCGCTGCCCACCTGGCATGGTCCAGGCTGGGACTGCCTTCTTCTGAGATCTTTTTTGAAAATATCAATATATTTTTATTGCTCTGACCAGTTTGGCTCAGTGAATAGAGTGTCGGCCTGTGTACTTGAAGGGTCCCAGGTTCGATTCCGGTCAAGGGCATGTACCTTGGTTGTGGGCACATTCCCCAGTAGGGGGTGTGCAAGAGGCAGCTGGTCGATGTTTCTCTCTCATTGATGTTTCTAACTCTCTATCCTTATCCTTCTTCCTTCCTCTCTATAAAAAATCAATAAAATATAGATTAAAAAAAAAATATATATATATATTTCGGAGAGGAAGGGAGAGGGAGAGAGCGATAGAGAGTGAGAGAGAGGATCACTGATAGGCTGCCTCCTGTATGCCCTCTTCTGCGGATCGAGCCCACACCTGAGTGTGTTTCCTGGCTCGTAGGTCGGTGCTCAACCACTAACCACACCAGCCGGGCCTGAGGTCTTTGTTCTCTCAAACGTCGGCTTGTGGTGAGTGGATTGGCTCCCCACTTCCTGGATGAGCTTGCCTGTTGCGCTGAGCTGTGTTCCACCCGCTGGTCCCTCCTGAGCCTGTTATGTATTTACTGGAGGCCCGATGCGTGAAATTCGTGCACATGTAGGCCTTTCTCTCCCCGACTGCCCGCACCGGCTTCCCTCTGGCACCGGGACCCGGGCTTCCCTCACAGCCCCGGCTTCGTCCGGAAGGTCGTCCAGAAGGACATCCGGTCTCATTAGCATAGTATGCTTCTGTTACTATAGGAGACCTGAGTCACTCTGGGGGAAGAGCACGAGATTGGGGCCCCCTTATCAGCCTAAGGGGTCAGGGAAAGGCTCTTACTCTGTGTGGGTTGGGCGTCTCAACTAGGAGTGATCCCCATTCAGCAGGGCACTCAGGAAAACTGGTTCCTGTGCCACACGGGACCCTGGGTGGTGGCTGTGTGGTGTGAAGATCAACAGTAACCAGGTGACATGTTGGTCCACACTCTTTTTAAAAAAAATATATATATTTTATTGATTTTTTTACAGAGAGGAAGGGAGAGAGATAGTTAGAAACATCAATCAGTTGCCTCCTGCACACCCCCCACTGGAGATGCGCCTGCAACCCAGGTACATGACCTTGACCAGAACGGAACTGGGACTCTATTCACTGAGCCAAACGGGCCAGGGCTCTGGTCCACACTCTTAAGAACAGATGGCTCATTGGGACCGTCCTAGGCCTAAATGCCTTTGCAGCTGCTGCCCCCACCCAGACCTCTGCTATTTCCAGGTTCTCATTCTCAGCATAAGAGAAAATGTGCAAGGTGTCTGAGGGCACCAACATTTAGGAAAATGGCCCCGAATGTTTCCCATGGGCCCTCCTAGAGGGCAGAGGGTCCACGGGCAGGAAGTGACTCAGCAGGCCTGGAATGACTCAGCAGGCCTGGGTTGCTCAAGCCCACACATTCCCAAGACCGGCCTGTTTCCAAGTTACCTCTGAGCCTCTGGACTCTTCTACCGTTTGTGTGCCTGAGGCCTCTGCAGATGGGATCTGTGTCCTTTCCTGGCAACAAACTGTAGCTGTTTCTGAGTCCTGTGATCCCAGTGAATCATCCAGCCCGAGGTGGTGTGGGGACCCTGATACACACTACACGCTGATGCGATCAGGTGACTATGGGTCACCTTTGGTGCAGCTGCAGATAAACATGCTAAAGGGAGCCTCTGCTCCCAGCCTCAGTCCTGGCCCGTAAAGCCATCTAGTGTCATAAAAGCGTAATATGCTAATTAGACCAAACATCCTTCCGGACGTCCTTTCAGACGACCTTGGCTGTGAGGGAAGCCCGGGTCCCGGGTGCCAGAGGGAAGCCAGAGCTGGAAGCCAGGGGAAGGAAGGCCTACTCTTGCACGAATTTTCTGCATCAGGGCTCTAGTCCAGTGTTTTTCAACCTTTTTTGGGCAAAGGCACACTTGTTTCATGAAAAAAATCACGAGGCACACCACCATTAGAAAATGTTAAAAAATTTAACTCTGTGCCTATATTGACTATATATAAAGTAATTCTCTTGAATAGGAATCAAATAAACACAAAGAAAGTATTTTATAATTACTTTATTATGAAATATTAAGTAAACAAAATAGTGAAAAATTATAAAATTCTCGTCTTGTCTGCACCTACGGCACACCAGGCAACATCTCGCGGCACACTAGTGTGCCGCGGAACAGCGGTTGAAAAACGCTGCTCTAGTCTATATAATAAGAGCCTAAGTGACCATTACAGTTATTATGCGCACGGACCACCAGGGGGCAGACACTCACCACTCAACGCAGGAGCTGTCCCCTAGTGGTCAGTGCGCTCCCACAGGGGGAGTGCTGCTCAGCCAGAGCTGGGCTCACAGCTGGCAAGTGCAACAGGTGTGGTAGGAGCCTCTCTCACCTCCTTAGAGCAGTGAGCCAAGTGGTAAGGGGCAGTGAGCAGGCAGGCGGTAAAGAGTGAGGGGTCCTGGACTGCGAAGGGGCGCAGGCCAGGCTAAGGAATTCCACTGCCCCCACACACACATCCCCCCCCCCCCCCCCGCACGAATTTTGTGCACGGGACTTCTAATAATAGTAATCCCCATGAGGTGTGTGTGACCTCATCCGATGGTACTGACGGACTCCCTGCAGGAAGATGCGTGCTATTGTGAGCAGGGAGAGGATGCCCCGGAGCCAACTCCAAAACCACCCCCAAAGATTGCCCCAGGGGAGGAAACCAAGCCTGAAACAGGCTTCTCTGACGTGACTCGCTTGGAAAGTCCACATGTCACTGGGAGAACTGATGCAATTAGACTATGAGAAGGGTGCTCCTGGGTTTTGTGCGGAAGTGATCTTGGTTCTGCTGAGAGGTGCACATGGGTCTGCTCTCTGTGATCCTCGGATAAGTAACCACAGGGCCGCTGGACTTAGGGAAGTGGATGTGCCGTTTCCGCTGCCCCAGCACTCACCGGAGTGATGCCCATCTTTCCTCTCGCTCCAGCAGGTGCTCAAGGCATGAAAAATAGCCAGCGTGGCTCAGTGGTTGATCCAATTCCCGGTCAGGGCACATGCCCAGGATGCGGGCTTGATCCCCAGTGTGGGGTGTGCAGAAGGCAGCCAATTAATGATTCTCATCATTGATATTTCTGTTTCTCTCTCTTCCTCTCTGAAACAAATAAGAATGTTTTCTAAAAGGTCCACCCTTGCCCAGCTGGCATGGCTCAGTGGTTGAGACTTGAACCAGGAGGTCAGAGTTCGATTCCTGGACAGGGCACAGGCCTGGGTTGCAGGCTCGATCCCCAGTGCAGGAGGCAGTCGATCAATGATTCTCTCTCATCATTGATGTTTCTCTCTCTCTCTCTCCATCTCCCTTCTTTTCTGAATCAATAAAAATGAATTTTTAAAAAATAAAAGCCCACCCTCTCTCAACCCTAACTCCTACCCCACCCAACCTCTACACACCCGAGGCCTCGCCCTCTTTCCTATTCCCCCCAAAACCTAACCCAAACCCCACCCCCAACCCTGACCCTGATCCTAACTAGCACACAGACTCTCTGACCTCCGGGCCAGGCAAAGCGCCTCCGAAGGCCCCTGTGCTGCTGGGGAAGGGAAGTGAGAGCCGCTCACAGGGTCTGTGGCTGCCTCTGGCACCTGGGGGCAAACTGGCTGCCAAGCCCCAGGATCGTGGGGGCCTGGCTGGGACAGGATGTGTGCTCTCCCTCTGCTTCTGTCAGGCATGGCTCTGGTCGGACAGGAAAGTGTCATTCTGGAGCCGTGTCAGAGGGAGTGGTGGACCCTGCACGTTACTGCTCCGAGTGGAAGCTGCTCATTGTACCGACTGCGAGAGCTAAGTACCCCTGGTTTCCATGATTCAGAGATGACAAGTCCATCCTAACCCCCATCTAGAAAGCGACAGCACCTGGTGCATCTCCTTGCTGATGCCCATGTCAGGGCATCTTCCCAGCCACCATGCCATGGTCTGGGGAAGGCTCCCACCCCACCCCCACATTTATTTTTTTATTTTTTCATTTTAAAAATATATTTTGTTGATTTTTTACAGAGAGGAAAGGAAAGGGATAGAGGGAAACATCCATGAGAGAGAAATATGAATCAGCTGCCTCCTGTTCATCCTCCACTGGGGATGTGCCCACAACCAAGGTACATGCCCTTGACCGGAATCAAACCTGGGACCCTTGAGTCTGCAGGCGACGCTCTATCCACTGAGCCAAACCAGCTAGGGCCTCACATTTATTTTTATTTACGTATTTATTTCTGTTGTTTAATCCTCACCTGAGGATTTAAACATTTTAAAAAATATATATATATTTTAAAAAAAAATTTTACCTGACCGGTTTGGCTAGGTGGCTAGAGCCTGGGCACCTCTGGGCGTTGCATCCAAGTTCCAGGCAGGAAGGAGGAAGGAACAGTATTTCTATCAGGAAAGCAAAGGCATTTTCTAATCTCTGGCGGACCTCCACTGGAGCCTCATGGGACAGAACTGGGCCGTGACCACCCCAGCCACAACTGAGTCTTAGACCCAGAATGTTCTGAGATGGACACACAGCTACCTCCGATGACCACTGTCCCCAGCACAGTGATGATCTGGAAGTGCTGGCCAATGTGGGTGATTTTTTTTTTCTTAAAGTTTTTTTAATTGATTTGAGAGAAACAGCATTTGTTGTTCCACTTTTTTATGCATTTACTGTTCAATTCTTTTAAAAAAATATATATATTTTATTGATTTTTTTACAGAAAGGGAGAGGAATAGAGAGCTAGAAACATTGATGAGGGCTGCCTCTTGCACGCCCTCTACTGGAGATGTGCCCGCAACCAATGTACATGCTTTTGACCAGAATCGAACCCAGGACCCTTCAGTCCGCAGGCTGACGCTCTATCCACTGAGCCAAACCGGTTTCGGCTACTGTTCAATTCTTGATTGTGCCCTGACCAGGGATGGAACCCACACCTTGGTGTATTGGGCTGACGCTCTAACCAACTGAGCCACCAGCCACAGCCCAATGCGGGCTTAACAAAGAAATGAAATGAAAGGCTACTATATGGAAAGGAGAGGCAAGCTTTTTATTTCCAACTGCTATGACTGTTTACCTAGAAAACCCTATACACTGAGGAGCTGTGAGAGACCTTAGAATAACTCAGTAAAGTTGTTAGATATAAAAATAAATATACAAGAAGATATACATAATCAATAGTGGTCCCATATATATAACAAAACCACCTAATTTACAAACTCCACAAAATCAGAATGAACTTAAGAATAAATGTGAGAACACTGATGTACAAAAATGTAGAATGTTTCTGACGGTTACAGGTAGATTGGAGTGACATCATCTACCACATTCTTTTATGTGAAGACAGGATTACATGGAACTTAGTTTTTCACAAACCAGTCAATTCTAACCAAAACCCCAATGACACCTGCAGGGGAAGGAAGAAGGGACGTGCCGAGAAGGTCGTACCTGGCTCCTCGGAAGAACCGATAAAACCTTCACAAGCCGCTGAGGACGTGGGTGTCGAGTGAAGTATGGAGCTACAGGGAAAGGAGAGACGGGCCTGTGGACGGTGAGGAATGCAACTCAACAATGCAGGGACCTTCAGTTTTATCTCCCAAATAGAGGGTTTAAGAGAGAAATATAAAATATCCAACCAAAAACAGAGTTACGAGAGGGGCTTTCTAAGAGCCAAAGAGAAACAGAGGAAAAAATCTAACAGACCTTATTACACAGAATTTTAAAATCTCGTACGTAAAAAAATACAGTACGATAGAGAATGTATGTGCTAAGATATATATGTGTATAAATTTATATGTATATATGTACATATTAAAAAACAAAGACTGGAATAGTGGACAAAAGATAGGAATAGATAATTCATAGGAAAGGGGGAAAACGTAGGAAAAAAATGAATAACACTGTGGTGTATCAAAACGCCAAACAGCTGAAACCGGTTTTGCTCAGTGGATAGAGCGTCAGCCCTGCAGACTGAAAGGTCCCAGGTTCGATTCCGGTCAAGTACCTTGGTTGCAGGCACATCCCAGTGGGGGTGTGTAGGAGGCAGTTGATTGATGTTTCTAACTCTCTATTCCTCTCTTCCTCTCTGTAGAAAATCAATTATATATATATATAAACAAACAAAAAACCCCGCCAAATGTGACAAGTGAGGAGATCGTGGGCTCGCTGTGGTGCCCACATACTGAACAGCGGGCACTTCAGGCGCACAGCAGACACAGGGCCCAGGGCCCGTGGAGATGGTTTCGTTTCTTTTAAAAAGAAAAATCAGGATGATGATCGTGACTCAGGCCAGACTGTGTGTGTGTTTTCCCAGCGCAGAGGTGATGCAGACCGTCTCCTGCGGGTCCCGGGGGAGGGGCCGGTGCCGCCAGGTGCCGCGGGGCCGCACGGTGCAGGCCGGCTCACTGACACCCGGAGGAAGGCGATGGCCCAGGGCCCGGGCTCAGGGCTGTTGCCGCGTCTGAACAAAGACGTCCGGGCGCCCACTCTGGACGGTGCCTGTGGCCAGACGCCGTGCAAGGACGTCCCCACCTGGCGGCGCTGCTGCCGGCTCCTCGGTAAGGAGACAGGATCACTCCGCACACACACAGCCAAAAACTTACCGAGATGATTGCTTACGCCGGTGGTCGGCAACCTCATTCCTCCACAGAGCCAAATAGCAACAATACAACGATTGAAATTTGAGAGCCAAATTTTTTAAACTTCTAACACCACTTCTTCAACATAGACTCGCCCAGGCCGAGGTATTTTGTGGAAGAGCCACACTCAAGGGGCCAAAGAGCCGCATTTGGCTCGCGAGCCGTGGTTTGCCGACTACTGCCTTAAGTTATTCGTTTCCTTTTTCACAAATATTGCACTTCTAGAAATCTATGAAAGTGCTAAAGTATAACCCAAAAATGCTCCATGAAGAATGATTTATAATAGTGAGAAAAACATGATCTCAACAGCCAACAGAATACTCTACTTCCCCTTAGAATGAGGACTCCACAGACAGCGCAGTGGCTTGGGAAAAACTTCATGCAGTTAAGTGGGGAAAGAAGATTAAAATGACAGATCCACTGTTTAAAGGGATGTAAAAATGCAATATGAAGACAGAAATAATGTATCAAAGTGCGAAAGGCAGCTTTATTAAGAATTATGGGTTTTCTCTCATTTATTCCACATTCTCTGAAATGTGGTTATCTTGCCTCCGTAATTTAGAAAGTCTAAGAAAAAGCATTTCATAAACTATAGTGCTCTATACAAAAGTCAGGTATTACCACTGAGAAGGCATCTTGAACTTGCTTAGACTGAGGAGGAAGAACGTTAATTCCAGGTGAACCGTGTCCTCCTGTCCCTGCAGGGAGCACGGAGATGGTCTGGGGCGGGCTCCTCCCTCAGGGCTGCACGGACGAGCTGGGCTCCATGGTGAGGGGAGGCCCCGCAGGCAGCCCCAGCCTCGGGGAAGGTGCACTTCTAGGCACATCCTCACCCACCCTCCCGGACACAGCGGCACCGCCTGTGCTCCGCTGCCAGCACGGCTCGGCGGCCGGGGTGAGGCCGCACGTCCGATGGTGACTGTGCAGCTGGGACAGGGGTGCGGCCTCAGGCAGCGGACTTGGCGGTGGAGCCCCTCAGGAGGTGAGTCCAGCAAATCCGCTTTTCCCCAAACTCCCGCCTCTGAGATCATTCTCGCCACCAATACCATAAGGTTTGCTTGGAGGCAAAACTGTTCATAATTCTGGTTTTAAAAAAGTCTTCATATTATTCTAAATATTATAGTTCACAGATGAAATTCTTGCTCTACGTCATGCCAGGAGGACATGATTGACAGACCTTTTATCTGCAGGAAAGATGGACCCCTGGCCAGGTGGACACCCATCAGCGGAGACCCCGGGACATCAACGCCCGGGGGAGCTGCCGGACGACAACCAGCCGTGCTAATCTCCGGGTTTGCTGCCCAGCGGGAGGCTCCTGCCGGCCGAGGGCTGCACCACACGCAGCAGCTCGGCCACGGCCAGCGGGTTTACGGGGTCCGAGCCGCTCACGCCCACACCGTAGGTGCCCAGCAGACGCTGGTCGAACGGGCCGGCAAAGGGCTGCTCTGCGCGGTGCGCCCGCTGGTGCGCGGCCAGGTGGCTGCTCCAGCCGAACGCCTGGCCGCACTCGGCGCACTTGAACTCCGGCCTGTCCGCGGCGTGCGTCTTCTGGTGCTTGACGAGGCAGTGGTTCTGGCTGAAGGCCCGGCCGCACTGGCCGCACTTGTAGGGCTTCTCCCCGGTGTGCACGCGCTGGTGCACGATGAGGGACGACTGGCAGCTGAAGGCCTTCCAGCAGCGGCTGCAGTCGAAGGGCTTCTCGCCCGTGTGCACGCGCCGGTGCACGATGAGGTAGGAGTGGGAGCCGAAGGCCTTGCCGCACTCGTTGCACTTGAAGGGCCTCTCGCCGCTGTGCACGCGCTGGTGCACCGCCAGGTACGAGTGGCAGATGAAGGCCTTGCCGCAGTCGCCGCACTTGAAGGGCTTCTCGCCCGTGTGGACGCGCTGGTGCAGCGCGAGGCGCGAGCGGCAGTTGAAGGCCTTGGCGCAGTCGCCGCACTTGAAGGGCCTGTCGCCGCTGTGGGTCCTCTCGTGCACCGTCAGGGACGAGTGGCAGGCGAAGGCCCTGCCGCAGGCGCCGCACTTGTAGGGCTTCTCGCCCGTGTGGATGCGGAGGTGGCGGGTGAGGTGCGTCCGCTGGTTGAAGGCCTTGCCGCACTCGCCGCAGCGGTAGGGCTTCTCGCCCGTGTGCACGCGGCGGTGCATGCTGAGCAGCGAGCTGCAGCTGAAGGCCTTGTCGCAGCCCGGGCACTGGTAGGGCCGCTCGCCCGTGTGCGTGCGCAGGTGCACGTTCAGCGACGAGTGGCAGCTGAAGGCCTTGCCGCACTCGCCGCAGAGGAAGGGCTTCTCGCCGGTGTGGATGCGCTGGTGCTCGGCCAGGTTGGTCCTCCAGGTGAAGGCCTTGCCGCACTCGCCGCAGCGGTAGGCCTTCTCCCGGCCGTGCCAGCGCTGGTGCAGGGCGAGGGCGGAGCGCTGGCCGAAGGCCTTGCCGCACTGGCCGCACGCGAAGAGGCCCTCCCCGGGCCCAGGGGGCCTGCGGGCGGGGGGCGGCCCGTGCTCGCTGGCCGCGCAGCCCCCTCTCCCCGGGCTGGGGGGCGGCCCCTGGTGCCGGGGGGCAGCCTCAGGGGGCCGGCACTTCTCGAGGTGCCCGTGAGGAGTTCTGAGAGTTCCCGTGCTCTGCTGGGCGGGGAGAGGGCACCGGAGGGGCAGTGCCCCCGCAGACGCCTCGTGTCCACACCGGCGCTCCTCCGCGGAGACCTCCCCGCCGCCAGGGGGCGCGCTCCTCTGGAGCACAGCCTCCCCTCCGGACAGAGCAGCCCCCGGGCCCCCCCAGGCCCCGCCAGCACCTGGGCCGCGGCCGTGGAGACAGGGCCTCACCGGCCCCTCCACCGCCGACTCCGGTGCCGTCTCTGCCCCGTGGATACCCTGCTGCTGACACGGCGCCTTCACCTCCGGCCGGGGCTCCCGCTCTGTGAGAAGCGGAAACGGAAGGAAATGCAGTTTTCTGTGAGCGGGCGAGGCGTGGGCAGCACTCAGACCTGAGGTCTGGCCTGCAGGTGCAGGTGAGCATGGAAAAGCGGGCAGAGGCCTGCAGAGGGCGCTCAGGAGCAGAGGCGGGAGGGGCACATGCGGGGTGACACAGGCAAGCAAGCTGGTAAGGACAGAGAAAGACGGGGGAAGGAGCCCCCGCAGGGAATTCCAAAAGGAGCCGGGGGTCAAGGGTCATGGATGAGATTCACTTTTTTAAAAATATATTTTTTTGTTGATTTCAGAGAGGAAGGGAGAGGGAGAGAGAGAGAAACATCAATGATGAGAATCATTGGTCGGCTGCCTCCTGTACACCCCCCAAAACCCGGGCATGTGCCCTGGACCGGAATCGAACTGGGGACCCTTTAGTCCACAGGCTGATGCTCCTGCCACTGAGCAAACCAGCTAGAGCTATGATTCACTTGTTGAAACATCTACTGAGAGACTGTTGTGTGTCAGAACTAGGTCAGTGCTGGCTGGGATAAACGCAAGTCCAAAAACCATAAATTTAACCCTTTGCACTCCGAACCATTCTGGACATTGGCTACCAGCTACTCGACGCTAACGGCGGAAACGTGCGTTGAATTAACTCAATTCCCCGTAATCACTAATAAACTGTAATGTCCCCTGAGAGGGGACATCCGAGTGATATGCTAGAATTCCGATGTCCCCTGAGAGGGGACAGCGGAGTGCAAAGGGTTAAAATGTCCCGTCCAGGCTGGTTAGAGTCTCATCCCAGCATGCCAAGGCTGTGGGTTTGACCTCTCGTCCGGCACATACAAGAAGCAACCAATGAAGGCATCAGTAAGTGGAACCACAGCCCGGCTGGTGTGGCTCAGTGGTTGAGTGTTGACCTATGAACCAGGAGGTCCTGGTTCGATTCCTGGTCAGGGCACATGCCCAGGTTGCGGGCTCAGTCCCCAGTAGGGGGCGTACAGGAGGCAGCCGATCAATAATTTCTCTCATCATTTATGTTTCCATCTCTCTCCCTCTCTGAAATCAATAAAAATATATATATTAAAAAAATTAGTGGAACAATGAATTGATGTTTTTCTCTCAAGTTAATAAATTAAGAAAAGAGACTTACTTTATACCCTATAAAAAATTTAAATGTCCCTTGTTCCAGAGAGGAAAAAGAACTCCCCCACCCCTCCCTCTCTGAAATCAATAAAAACGTTTTTAAAAAAATTACTACTGTCTCCTGCCAACATGAGGCAGATGTCTTTGCCTGTTTTCTTGCTATGTTCCCAGCACCGTGTCTGGGAAGGGAGGAGGGAGGGGTCTAGAAGGGGCCTGAGCAGGTGCAGATGGCGCTGGGGCTGTGATGGAGGGCCACATGGGGTGGCAGGCGGGGTGCTGGGGCGGGGGCTCCGCATCCTCCCCTCGCAGCCCCTCTCACCTGGACGAGCCCCCGCCAGGGCTCCGGGCACCTGCCACGGCTCCTCGCCTCGTTCCAGATGGCAGATCACGGCTGGCTTACGGACCGGAGGCCCTGTTCGTGGGGGGAGGCGGCAGGGCTGCGCTGAGCTCCCTCTCCAGAACCCGCGATGGGCAGGAGAGGCCCGGGACAGCACGAGCTGGCACTGAGGTGTGTGCCGTCCCCGAGGATGGGGCCCCGGACGGGAACCCAAATGAGGCATGCATTCTGAGGAGCCCAGGGTCTCCCGCCCCCCTCCCCATCTCCCTGGAAGGCTCCAGGGCAGGTCGGGCTTCCAGGACACTCTCCTCCCTCTCCCTTTCCTCTCCCTCTGGCTCGCCTTGTGTCAGCCACACCTCCAGGCAAGGATGCCAGCAGCACCACAGAGACCACACCCCCTCACCAGGCTGGTGCTGGGGGGACTCGGTCACACCTGTGACGTGGCTCAATGCCCCGACCACTGCCTCGGAGCCTCGGGAGCCTCTTACCCAGGGCCAGAAGGTTCTGGTAGTTCTCCAGCATCACGTCCCGGTACAGGGCCCGCTGGGGCGAGTCCAGCTGGCCCCACTCCTCCTGGGTGAAGTCCACGGCCACATCCTTGAAAGTCACCGATTCCTGGGATGACACATTCTCAGTCACTGGGGAGAGTGACTCCCATGGGGTTCACGCTTCCGAGGGAGTCGGGGTTAACCTCGGTGACCTGCTCCCAACGTGGAAGGCTGTGCTCAGACGTCGTCTGTCATACAGCCCAGTACACACCACGGCTGGGCCAGGAATCGCCATCTGGCCTGGCTTTCTGGACCCGAAGGGCCCAGCTAACTGGGCAGCCCCTGTGCCTGCCACGCTGGACAGAAAGCTGCTGTGAAGTTCTGGGTAAGAATGTCAACCTTAGAGAACCGGAGAGAAAAACACAAAGAACCCAGAAACCCTGTGCAAATCTCACCGCCGCCAAAGGCCCGGACCCTCAGGAAGCAAACCCTGAGCTTACCAGCAAGTTCCAAGCCTGAGACCAAAGGGGCCATTCCACGTCCTTCCTGCCTGCCCCTCCCTCCTTCCTACTGAGCTCTGCTCCCTGCCCTCCCAGGCTGACTCCTGCCTGTCCCTCCTCCAGAGCCGCCATGAATGCAGGGGTCCCCCCCCCCCCACGTGGTCACTCCGGTTCCCAGGGTCACAAATGCCCCTAACGACTCTACGGCACTCATGCCCTCAAATCCTCGGCTCTCCTACCACCGGGCTCCTCACCCCTGAGCCTCCGGGCTGTGGCCCTAACAGTCTCCACGCTCACGCCCCACCTACCCCCCCACCCCCCACCCCGACAATAAGCTCTCCAGGCCTCCAGAGCTCTGCCCTCAGCAGCAGGTTGGGAAAAAGCAGCCGCTGACTAACTGCTCTTTTTCAAGATGCTGTTGCCAAGGCCGCCTGGCTTGGCTGCAGCTGGGATGTAGTCACGTTCAATGTAAGAGCGAAGAATAAGCCAAGGAGGGAAGTCTGGTTCCCACTTAAGCCTGTGCTGGGGAGTGTCTGGTGTGGGGCCACCAGACTCCTCGAGAAGCTCTGACCCACATCAGCACCCAAAGCCAGGAGAGGGGCGCCGACCGTCAGCCTTGAGAAGAGGCCTCACACCTACCAGGTGCTTACCAGGTGGTCAGCAAAAGTGGGGACCCCCTCTGGGATCACAGGAGTTTGGCCTTTAGTTCTAAAAGGGGCTTATATACCCCTAACCGGTTTGGCTCAGTGGACAGAGCGTAGGCCTGCGGACTGAAAGGTCCCAGGTTCGATTCTAGTCAAGGGCATGTACCTTGGTTGCGGACACATCCCCAGTAAGGGGTGTGCAGGAGGCAGCTGATCGATGATTCTTTTTCATCAATGTTTCTAACTCTATCCCTCTCTCTTCCTCTCTGTAAAAAATCAATAAAAATATATATATTTTTAAAAATGACACTATAAAATACAGAACCACCATCACTCAGAACTGCCTGAGAGCTGGCTGAGTGGAGGGCCTACAGCCAGAGAAGGAAAGCAGCAGCACACAGACTGGTGGGCAGGCTGAGGCCAGAATGAGCTGGAACGGCACCACGTGTGGTGTTTTAATCAGGAGGGAGGTGGGATCTTCGGAGGCCGCCCGTGAGGAGCAAGGGGGCCCAGACCCCCAGGCCAGGGGCCCAGCTGGGAAGAGAACCCCTGTAACTTCGGGCAGTAAAAGCCAGCAGGGATATGCCTGAGTGACATGAGGCTGCTACAATCCCAGGTGTCCCTCTTAAAGGGACAGCACACAAACTTACCCAGCCCCGCTTCTTCCGAGCTCCAGCACCGGGACCCGGATACATACAGGGAGGAACTGGACTGTCTGGCATCAGGGCAGGGACTCAGGGGTGGCTCTCACCCAGATGGGGGTGCTCACAGGGGTCATTGTTCCTGTGCTGGGACCTCCCTGTCCCAGGGCTGACCGGCAGCCACATCTGAGTCTCAACCAGCCTGGAGCACAGGGTTTGCTCCGCCCTGGGAATTCCTGAATCCTGCCCCATCCAATGTGCAGCCCCACCCAGGGCTGTCTGCAGCAGCTTTTCCATAAGAGTGGCCTGTCCTGGCTCAGGCTTCAGATTTTGCTAAAATCTCTCAAACAAGCTGCAGCTGGTGACAGCATGCCCCAAACCCATTAATAAAAGGCCCATGACCAGACTAGCACCAGCCTGCCTTGCTTCATAGCAGCTCTCCCACTGTCTTTGCAGCTGGTCCTCCAGCCAATTGGCCTGGAGGTCAACTCCTCCCAGAGACACCAACAGCAATCAAGGCTCAACTATAACACAGTGCACACAGCCCACACAGGGACACACCTAGAGTGCCCAGCTCAGGAGATGAGAGGCTGAGCCAAAAAGCTAAAGGAGTTCATCACCACCAAACCAGTATTATAGGAAATGCTGAAGGGTATTATTGAAGGAGAGAAGAGGAGGAGGAGATAGAGGAGGAAGAGGGATAAAAAATATGAACAATAAAGTGGAACAAACATCTATCAACAATCTAATCTAAAAATCAAAATAAACAAGAAATCTAATGAACAAAATAAATTGGTGAATAAAACGGAATCAGAGGCATGGAATCATGGAACAGATTGACGAAACTCAGAGAGAAGGGGAGTGGAAAGAGATTAGCCAAAGATTTTATCTATGGACACAGTAAGGGGTGAAGGCCTGGGGTGGGGTGGGAACTGGGTAGAAGGGGGAGGGGGAGTGTGAGTGTGAGTGTGAGTGTGTGTGTGTGTGTCTCGGGGGAGGACACCTGTAACACTACAGCAATAAAGATTAAAAGAAAGAAATCAAAATAGCTTTTTTCCCCAAAGATGGCTTTTTAAAAAATGTTAGATTTTTTTTAAAAAAAAGTTTTTATTGATTTTAGAGCGACAGGAAGACAGATGGAAAGAGAGATGGAAACATAGATGTGAGAGAAACATGGATCGGCTGCTTCCTGCATGCCCCTATTGGGGCAAGAGCTCACAACCCCAGGCATGAGCCCTGACTGGGAATTGAACTGTCAACCTCTTGGTTCATGGATTGACACTCAATCATTGAGCCACACCAGCCAGACAAAAAATAGATTTTTTTGTGTGTGTGTTTTTTTTTTAAATATATTTTATTGATTTTGTACAGAGAGGAAGGGAGAGAGATAGAGAGTTAGAAACATCGATGAGAGTCATCAATCAGCTGCCTCTTGCACACCCCCTACTGGGGATATGCCTGCAACCAAGGTACATGCCCTTGACCGGAATCGAACCCGGGACCCTTCAGTCCCCAAGCCAACGCTCTATCCATTGAGCCAAACCGGTCTTGGCTGTGTGTTTTTTTAAAATATATTTTATTGATTTTTTTACAGAGAGGATGGGAGAGGAATAGAGAGTTAGAAACATCGATGAGAGAGAAACACTGATCAGCTGCCTCCCGCACACCTCTCACTGGGGATGTGCCCACAACCAAGGTACATGCCCCCGACCGGAATCAAACTGGGAACCTTTCAGTCCGCAGGCCGACACTCCATCCACTGAGCCAAACCAGTGAGGGCCAAAAAATAGGTTTTTGAAAAAATCATTAACACTGATAATTATATATATATTTACTATCTGACGGAAATGTTCTATGTCAGATGTGGTGCTGGTTACACAACTGTATATACTTGCCCAAACTCATCAAATCCTCCACTTAAAATTGATGAACTTATTGTATATAAATTATAGCTCGATAAACCTGATGCAAAAAATCCCACTGTGGGTGTGAGGACAGACGCCGAGAACACATCCATCACTGAGGCCCGGGAGGCTGAAGCACAATGGTGGTGACATCAGCAGAGGAAGGAGAAAACGGGCAGAAACACAGCTCCAGCGACCTCAGAATGTAGTGCTGCCCTAACTGGTTTGGCTCAGGATAGAGCAGCAGCCTCGGGATTCAAAGAGTCCCAGGTTCGATTCCGGTCAGGGGCACGTACCTTGGTTGCGGGCACATCCCTGGTAGGGAGTGTGGAGGCAGCTGATCGATGTTTCTCTTTCTCTCATTGATGTTTCTAACTCTATCTCTCTCCCTTCCTCTCTGTACAAAATCAATAAAATATATATAAAATTTTGGTTTCCTTAAAAAAAAAAAAATCCCCTTTATTGATTTTTGAGAGGAAAAGAGAGGGCTAGATAGAAACATCAATGAGAGAGAAACATCATCAGTTCATTACCTCCAGTACACACCCCTAATGGGCCTGAGCCTACAACCCAGGCATGTGCCCTGACCGGAAACTGAACCAGTGACCTCTTGGTACATGGGTTAACGCTTAGCCACAGAGCCACATCAGCCTGGCGTCTCCTAAGGATATTCTTTTACACAATCACCGTGCCATCATCACACCCCGAAAATTTAATGTTGATACAATATGACCTACGATACAATCCATTTTCAAATTTCCTCAACTGTCCCAAACTGCCTTTGACAGAATTTTTGGATCTGTGAGGCATTGAGAATCATGTATTGCCTTTGATTGTCATGTCTCCTGAGTATTTTACTGAATTACAGAACATTCTAGCACATTACAGAAGCTGGGCACATATCACAGTTTGACAGCTATTTCTTTTTTTTTTCTTTTTTAACATATATATTTCAGAGAGGAAGGAAGAGGAAGAGAGAGATAGAAACATCAATGATGAGAGAGAATCATCGATTGGCTGCCTCCTGCATGCCCCACACTGGGAATTGAGCCCGCAACCCGGGTATGTGCCCTTGACCAGAATCGAACCCAGGACCCCTCAGTCCATCCACTGAGCAAAACCGGCCAGGGCTGATAGCTATTCCTTGCTGTCTGTAATCTTTCAAGTGGGGTTAACAGAACCACAAAATCCTAAAAAAGTCAATCCTCTAGCCTTTTCACTCCCCCAAACTCTCTTTATCAACTGTATCCTTCTAAACACTATGATGGGTAGGGGTAGTGTAGGTGGTAGAACAAAACCCTAGGCCCCAAAAGAAAGACTCGGGTCCTGCTTAGCTGCGGAAGTGGCCCCAGAGCCAACTCCGTGCCGAGCCCCCAGATCCTCTGAAACCGCACGTTTTACCCGAAGGCCCCCTATCAAGGGCCCAGTGTAGAGGAGACGCACACAGGGACAGACCCCTCATCATCACTCTTACCCCACCACTGCCACACAGCCCTTCCTTCAGCTGTCCCACACCGATTTCACACCAGCAAACCCCCCCAAACAGGTCCCACCATCACCGACCCCGCCTGGGTCTTCACGTGGAGATGAGCCAAGTGATCTCGTGTGACCTACTTGCTGGAGCTCTGCTAAAACCACTCAGGTCCTGGGCACTGACCCACCCACTGGACTGGATTGGGCTGGAAGGGACACTCATCTTGAGGGCACCCCTGGGGCATCACCCAGAACTGTTCCCAAGCCCAGAGCTTCCTGAAGGAAGCTGCCAACCCTCTTCATAAAGAACAAGATGTAAAAAAAAAAAAAAAAAAAAAAAAAAAAAAGACTACCAGCCTTAGTTACTTTGGCTCAATGGGTAGATTGTGGGCCTGCGGACTGAAGGGTCCGGCTCAAGGGCACATGCCTGGGTTGTGGGCTCAATCCCCAGTGTGGGGCATGCAGGAGGCAGCAATCAATGCTTCTCATCATTGTTTCTCTCTCTCTCTCGCTCTCTTCCTCTCTGAGATCAATAAAAACATATTTAAACAAACAAACAAACAAACAAAAAACAACAACACAAGAATGTTCAGAAGTAAGAAAAGACGGCCACTCACCTCGGAGCTGGTTTCCAGGGGACCCTCACCCCATTTATCCTCTGGATTATCTTTCAGAAGAGCAAGGTCCCGCGAGGACAGAGCTGGGGAGGAGAAATGAGCAACGGGCTGTTCAGCCACAGCCCCCAAGTGCACTGAGTGAGCTAAAAACCACTCACACCTGGCACCAGGGCAATCAGAGGAGCCAGGACCCACCCCCGCAGGTGGGGTGGGGATGGAGCCCCAGTATGCGGCGCAATCTGACAGCATCAGGGGTTAATCCTGCCACTCAGTGTCAGACGCTCCCATTAAGAAAGAAAACATTGCCAAGACCGGTTTGGCTCAGTGGATAGAGTGGTTCCAGAATCGAACCTGAAAGGTCTCAGGTTCGATTCTGGTCAAGGACATGTACCTTGGTTGCGGGCACATCCCCCCGGGGGGGGGGGGGGCCTGCAGGAGGCAGCTGATCGATGTCTCTCTCTCATGGGTGTTTCTCTCTATCTTTCTCCCTTCCTCTCTGTAAAAAATCAATAAAATATTAAGAAGGAAAACATTGCCATTTTCTCCCAGTCATCAGCACGCTCCGGACAGTGGGAACAAATGGCTGGGCACGGTAGAGGCAGCAGCCCGACTTTGCTGGTGCTCCGGGAAACCGGCCTGGCCTCTCTGTCAGTCTCCTCAGCAGCAAACCCACAGACCCACTGCCTCCAAGAGCCGCCTGTACCTGTCTCCGGGGGCTTCGGGGCAGGGGTCTCCATAGCGGCCCTTGGTAGCGTCCCCCGGACGCGTGGGCAGCTCTGCAGCCACCTGGGCCCCAGGCCAGGCCCAGGGGAGCGGGTCCTGCTCCGGGGGCTCAGGGACAGCGGCCTGGAAGGGGCCTCGGGGGGCCGCGCACGCACTCCCGGCCGCACGGTCACACGGTCACACAGGTCGCGGCCTGGCCAGCTTAGCGGGGGCCCCGCAGCACGGGCTGCGCTCACTCCCCATCGCCGCGCCTCGCTCCTCCTGGGGCTCGGCCACCCGGAGACAGTGGGCGCGGAGCGGGCCGGCAGACGGACCCCGGGGCAGATGGACAGTCAGACCGGCAGACGGACGGACACGGGAGAGCGCCAACCTGCCGCCCACAAAAGGACAACGACCACCACAAAGGAGCAGCCCGGCGTCCGCCGTGGGCGAGTGCGCCTGCGCGGACCGGACGCGAACTACAGTTCCCCGGATCCGCTGTACCACGGAGACAGCGCACTCCATTTCCCAGAGGGCCTCGGGACACCAGAGGATAGCCCTGACGTCCGGACTCCCTGCGAGTGTGTAGCATGGCCTTCTGGGAAATGTAGTTCTGGGGCATTAAACCATGCGCCCTGGCCCCGCCCCACTCACCGCCCTCCATTGCTGTGGTGTTCACCTGGGCAACGGGCATATCTGCAACCACCTGGGCCCCAGGCCAGACGCAGAGGGACGGGTCCTGCAGGGAAGGCCCCCAGGGTCCCACAGAGCCTCGCACCCCTGACTGTGCTCACATCTCACCACCACGCCCCACGCAACCCGTCACACACTCTGAAGTATGGTAGCAACCACACTTAGGTAAAAACAGCTGTTTGAATTTTAACCCTGCTATTCTAGAAGGCTTCTGCACTCACTTTTTTATTTTTTTTAAGATATATTTTATCGATTTTTTTACAGAGAGGAAGGGAGAAGGATAGAGAGTTAGAAACATCTATGAGAGAGAAACATCCACCGGCTGCCTCCTGCAACCCCCCCCCCCACCACCACCACTGGGGATGTGCCCGCAGCCAATGTACATGCCCCCGACCAGAATCCAACCTGGGACCTTTCAGTCCGCAGGCAGCTCTATCCACTGAGCCAAATGAGTTTCAGCTTGTGGAAAGCTTTATTGATGATGGAAAAGTAAAGGGGCTCCCCTCCAAGGTCCCATCTGTGTCCACCCTTGCCTCTCCTGGCTCTCAGAGCCACGCCTATTGCCTCCCACAGCCACATCTGCTGTCAGCAAATCCCGAGCCCTCTCCCCACACCCCTGGCCTCCTTGCCGGTCCCTCCTGGGGATCTTAGGGGTCGCCTTCATTTCACACAACAGAACTTAATTTGAGCTCAGGGAGGGCAGAGCCTACAGGTCACACAGCCTGGGTCTCAGGGGCTCAGGAGGAACCCAGACTCTTTTGTTGGCAGTATTTTAATTACTGGGGCAGAGGGCAGGGGATGGTTAATGAGGCTCAGGGGAGCAGCTGAGCCAGATGCCGGAGGGCCCAGCAGGCCAGGGGACTCAGGAGGAATGGGGCCATCGGAGGGGTTGGTTGACAGAGGGCCAAGTTCTCACCTCCTCTGCACCTTCGAGAGACAGGCTGCAATGAACAGATGAACAGAATGAACAGAATGAACAGAATGAACTAATACACTGAGGGGACCCAGGCCTCTTTACAGTGGGTGGGGCCAGGTCTGCCAATGAACAGGGTCCATAGCACCCCCTCCCCCACCCTCAAACCCCTCACACACACACACACACACACACACACACACGGAGCTGCACAGAGCTAGGCCCCCGCAGGCCCTGAGATCCCAGTCCAGCCTGGATCCATGCCAGGCCCTCCCTCTCCACAATTTGCTGGGGAGGCCCCATGGCACCCAAAATCCTAACTAGCCCTTAGGGTGCAGTGAGAACAACATACTGGGTGGGGACACTGCCCCCCAAGGGGGCCCACAGTGCACTGTCCATGGCAGCATTGCACGTGTGAAGGCACCAGGCAGCGGGTGAGAAAGTGGTATAGGGCAGTGGTGAAGGGCTCCCATAGAAGATTCAGGGACAGGAAAGGCAGCAGGGATGGCCATAAGGGCCTCAAATGCCAGGTAGAGGAGGTGCACTGGCTGCCCTGGATGGGGGAGGGAAGGGGGAGGAGGTCCACCCCCTAGAGGACCCTCAGCCCTAGGCTCCCTCATCCAGCTACTCCTCCATCCTCAATTAGCATCACTGAGTACCACGTGACCCAGACCTGTGCTCAGGGACCCTTCTGTGGATCCAGGTGGACAGAGAACAGAAGCCAGTTACACTGACGGGAGAGATGCTGTGGGGAAGGGGCCTGCATTACCTGGTTGTTGTGAGGTGGTCAGGGAAGGCTGCCAGGCAGAAGGGAGATGAATGAGATTGGCCAGGCACGTCGGGGTGGGGAGGACATTCCTGCCAGGAGAACTGGCCTAAGCAAAGGCCCAGAGGGGTGAAGGTTAGTGGGTTAGAGGAGGTTTAAAAAGTGTGGCTGGGCCGAAACCGGTCTGGCTCAGTGGATAGAACGTCAGCCTGCGGACTGAAGGGTCCCAGTTGGTTTTGATTCCGGTCAAGGGCATGTACCTTGGTTACGGGCATATTCCCGATGGATGTGTGCAGGAGGCAGCTGGTCGATGTTTCTCTCATCGACGTTTCTAACTCTCTATCCTTCTCCCTTCCTCTCTGTGGAAAATCAATAAAATATGTTTTTAAAAAATCAATAAAATATATTTAAAACAAAACAAAACAAAACACACACACACAAAGCCTGCGCTGTGCCCTTCCCCCAAGGCCCCCCGGGGCTCTGCCACACCACTCGGGTCCCAGCCTTGCCGGGGATCTCCCGCCCCGGGCAGGATCCCTGGAGGCCTCGGATGTCCCCATCGCGGTCCCGGGGGCATCTCCGCCGTGTGCGGCTCGGGCCCCACGGTTGCTAGGCTGCGCCCTGGGGCTCCGGGAAGCAGGGCGCCGGTGCCACTGGCGCTGGCGGCTACAGCGCGGATGGCGGCAGAGTCGGGGCGCCCGTGGGCACAGGCTAGCAGGGCGTACGGTGCCAGCCAGGCCCTACGGCGCGGCGCGGACCGCTGGCGGGCCCCCGGGCCCCAGCCCAACGGGCCGGGTCCCGAAGAAGCCCGCGCCCCCGGGCGCCTGGCCCGCCTTCGCGGCCAGCTGCGGGCGGAGGCGAAGGTGGAGGCGCGGGCCGGCGCTCCGCGGCTGCTGCGGCTGGTGGAGCGCGCGGGGGCGGCGGCCGGGGCCGGAGACCAGGGTGCCGGGGCCGGGGCGCGGGAGGACGCGCGCAGCCGGGGCTCCGTGTGCTCGGTGTGCGGGGAGCCGCGCGGCGGGGCCACCTACCCGGCGGGCGTCCTGGAGGTGAGCGAGCGGCGGCTGCAGGAGGGCCTGGCGGCCGTGCGCGCCGAGCTGGGCGCGGGGCTCGAGGCGCTGCGCGCGGAGCTGCGGGCCGAGCTGGAGGCCCTGCGCGCGCTGCTGCCGCCGCCGCCGCCCCCCGGCCGCCGCGAGCCCCGCGCCGCGCCCCGCGGCCCGGCCCTGCTGCGGGCGCTCGGCACCGTGAACGCCCTGGCCGCCATCACCAGGCCCGCGGACACCGCCTCTGACAGAACCGTGAACGGCCCCACGAATGGCCCCGCGAACCAGGCCCCTGCCCGGAAGAACCTGAAGAAGACGCCGCTGCCCCCCGGGGCCCGCAGGGTGGTGGGGATTGAGGAGGGTGAGCTGGGTGCAGTGCAGGAGGGGTGAATGGGCAGATCTGCCTAGTGGGCCTGGCTCAGTGCAGCCGGCGACAACTTCTGGAGACTGAGTCGGGGCTGGAGGAGGTCCGGAGCCCCTTTGGCCTTTGAGCTGGGCGATGTTTGGTCCTGGGGTGTCAGCCTCCAGGGAGAGCCAAGGGCTTGCAGCAAGTGGACCCCTCGGGCTAGGAGGAGGGGGTTGCAGGTGTTTTTTTCTTTTCTTTTTTTTTTTTTCTTTCCTTTCCTTTTCTTTAAGGGTTTGGGGGAAAGGCCGTGCCTGCGTGCACTGGGATATGGAGTGTGACCACACACCAAGCAGCAGACACCTGGGACGCATGGGCTGCTGGAACAGTCACCTGATACAGTACCACTCAGATCAGTGTCACCTAGATATACAACCACATCACAGGCACCAGCTGCACAGCAGCCTGACTGGCCCTCACTCCCCTGACCACCAAACCCGGCCTCCCGCAGGACAGCGAGGCGGCACAGAGGCCCCGGTCAGCGGCCACACCTGCACTCTCAGCTTTGCTTTGGACAGTGACACTTGGACACTTACCCCCTCATTTGGCCTCCCACAGGCAGTGACCTGGGCGCCGGTGTCTCTTCAGAAAGTGTCATGTACACTCAGACTCCACAGGCCAAGCTCCCGGAGTGTCATCTGGTGCAGCTGTTCCTGTCGCCAGGACCCACCCACCCAGGGCAGCCCGCAGAACCTGGAACCAGTGCCTCTCCCCTCCTGACCTCCAGGAAACATTACCCGGAATCTTCCTCTAAAAACTGTGACCTGGGGTCAGTGCCCGCTCATTTCTGAAATAAAATGTGTTATCTTAGGCTTTAGCAGGTGGTGGTGTTTTAATCTATTTTATTCATTCCATTCCTTACCTAAAGATAAGTTTTTATTGATTTTTTTTTGGAGAGGGAGAAATATCGACGTGAGACAGAAACATCTGGTTGCTTTCTGAATGTGCCCCAACTGGGGATAGAACCCAGAACCTAAGTATGTGCCCTGGCAGGGAATTGAACCCACAACCTTATGGCGGCAGGATGATGCTCCAACCAGCCAAACCACCTGGCCAAGGCAGGTGGTATGTTTGGAACCTGCTAACGTTTTTCCTTTCATCTGACTCAGTGTGTAGGTTGGGTGTGGGGTGCTTCTTCCTCTGAGAGACCTGGGGTTCCTGAATGGGGCTCTGATACTGGCTGTGGAGGGGTAGTGGAGGGTCGCTTATGGGTCTCTTATATGAATAGCGTGAATGGCCAGCCCACGTGTGAGCCGATGGTGGGAGTCCCCACTGTAGGTATGTGGCCATGTGCCAGGAGATCCTTCCGTCCTCTTTCCCTATAGGGCCATCTGCCTGCAGGTGATTGTGCCAGTGTGTGGCCTAGGTCAGGGCGTGGCGAGTGGGGATTCAGAGTCCCTGGTGCTCACCCTCTGAGTTCACACACACTACCTCCATCACTGTGAGGAAGGTGAGCATGAAGCCAGGGAACACGGTGTGGCTGCTGCAGAGACTTGGCAGGAACGGGAGTGTGGAGGCTGCTGCAGCCAGGCGGCTGTATATGTATCAGCCAGGTGGGCGTGGCTGCATCCTGTAGGCTTTCCATGTGGGTCAGAGGGCCAGTGCCCAGGCAGGGCCAACAGCAGGGAAGAGGGAGCTCTGGACCCACCAGGCTCTGATATGAGGGATACATGCCAGTAACAATTGCCATTTCCTGGAGCTAAAAGCTCACCCCCCATTAACCCTTTTAGGAGTGAGAGTCTAAAGATGCCCATTTACAGGGACCAGGAGTGAGAAGGCAAGGCCATCAAGATGGCGCAGCCTAGGACACCCCAAGGCCAGATGTCCTCTGACCCAGTGTGTGACGGAGCTCTGCTTTACTCTCCTTCCTTCGGAGAACCACCCCAAACACGGGTCTCCAGGAAGCCACGGCTTACCCCATTGACCAGCCCAGGTCAACGAGGGGGCGGGGCTTCCTCAGCAGCTGTGGCGAGGACCCCAGGCTGGGCCCAAGCCACAGTTCACTCTCCTGGGAAGTGAGGCTGACTTCTTTCAGGGTGGGCAGGAGAGAAGGCAACACTTTCTGGAAAGGGCTCGGTGTGCCCACAGGTGTGAACATGACTGGGTGGGTGTGAGGTGGGAGATAAGTCTGCACCCTGCGCCTCTTTCCAATCCCAAAGACCTGGGCTCTTCCACTTGGTTGTACCCAGTGGAGCTGTCCTCGGTGCTGACAGCACCCAGGCGCCCAGGACAGCCTGCCATCCCACAGAAGTGCTCTGGAAAGAGGGGCCTCCCAGGGACTCGCTGGCTCTTTCCCTGCCTGAGGCTCTCTGGCCAGGAGGCTGGGTTAGGAAGATGAGCAGGAAGCCCTGCCAAAGGCCGAGTCCCCTGGGTGCCCTCTTGTCCCACATCATGCACTAGGAACTTATAGAAAAAACCACTGAGGAAAGGGACAGAGGGGTCTCAGAGCCCCAAGCCTGACACTCCCCTCCATCTCCGCCCCTGTGCCGTGGCTCCATCTTGGCCAGAGCCTCCCACTCCCAACATGAGTACACCTAGGACTGACTACGTCTCTTCCAGAACTCAAATTTATTTGGCATTTGGATGAAATGGTTCTCACAGCATCTTAAGGATTAGTGCCAACCTAACCAAAAATAAACCCAAACTAAAACCCTTAGTGAAAGGAAAACAGAAAACAGGCATTGAGACAATGTACAGATTCGACTCCCACCTCCACCAGGCAGGTCAGGTCCCAGGGGAGGAGTCCCTCCCGAGACCCTGGCCTGTCCCTCTGGAGGCCGTGTGCATGGGGTGGGAAGCCCTACTCTCACAGGAACACCAGTCTCAGCCAGGGTTAGACCTGGAGCTCATCAGATCTTACAAAGGGTGGTGACTGGACAGGAAGCACAGGTCAGCCGGGTAACCACAGCTTTCCCCGATGCCCTCACAACCACCTTTAAGCAGAGCTCAGCTCTGGGAGACTCAGTGGGCAGCAGGCAGCCTTCTTCCCAGCCCAAGAATGCCAGTAGGCTGAACACTCTGGGCCCACCCTCTGCAGCCCACACGATCTGATTCAGGGCACCCTCTCCTTAGCACCTTCTGCACACCTGTCCCCAGCAATCTTTAGGTCCGCAAAAGCCCCCCAGTCCCACACCTCTAGTGCCAGCCACTGCCCTGTATACACAGCTGAAGCCTGGGCCAGAGACACTGGGATAAGGGGACCTGGTGCTATGGGGGGCAGACCCTACAGGATTTCGTTGGGGCGGCCATTTCAAAGTAGGCCCACGCAGGACCCTAAGCCAGCGCCCACAGGGCTGTGACCGCTGCTCTGGAAAATGGCTGCCCCGTGTTCAGTGTATGTTGGAGGCTTCACACACTTCCTGCTTGGTGTTCAGCAGCCAGCATGGGCACATGTGCCCAGGATGCCCTTCTCAAAGCAGCAGCCCTCTGGCAAGGGGAGCACACACGCTGGCTTCTGCAGGCCGAGCCCAAGGACAGGCAGTTCAGGGACAAAACTCACATCTCTGGTCAGCCTTGTGGAACAACTCAACAAAACTGGTTTCCAACCAAAGTGTGAGAATGTGCCTAGAACTGGGCTGTGCCTGTGAGGTCTGTCGTCAGACCACCATGGAAGCACCCACCGAAAGTCAGCTCTCCCCTTGCTGCATGCTGGTCCAGAAAGGCTGAGAGGAGGACCAGGAGCTGGGCGGCTGGGTTGGGAAGATGACAGAGAGCCTGCGTCAGAAGAGGCACAGACCCGGCCACGCCTCCGTGCCCCCAAGAGGCCATGTTGGCCCAGGAAATTGAAGATTGAGTTCCTGTGTACCATCACCACCTGCAAACACTTGGACATATATGTACGTACATACACACACACACACACACACACACACACACACACACACACAAAAGATCTAGACATTCAACGTAGAAAAGATATGGATGTGCTAAAAAATCGCACAGAACCCGCTTCATCTCCAAACCTCAGAAACGCTAACAGCCTGGTGTCAGGAGACAAGACCACTGCCCAGGAGTAGGCAACAGGGTCCCTCAGTCAAAAGGCCCCTGAGCAGGGCACCCAGCACCCTGTGCTAAGGACAAGAAGGTGGCATGCAGCCACCAGGCACTCAGCTCTAGTGGTGGTGGTGATGTGCAAGAAGTGGACTTTCAGGAGGTGGACACAGCCCAGGGATGTTAATTTCAGCCACCCCTCCCCACAATTAACCCTTTATGGCACAAAGAGGAGGGTGGGGGCAGGCCTTGTCCAGGGCAAATTCAATAGGAGGGGGCTCCAGAGGGTTAACAGAGAGGAGCTGGCTCAGCCTTCCAGTGAAGGATCCAGGGCCAGGGCACTCATGCAGGCTAAGGGCCTCAGCCCAGTTCCAGAGCTGCCTCCTGGGGGCCATGCACAGTAATGCTAGGGAGAAATCCAACAGACTAGGAACAGGGATTTCTGGTAAGGAGCTGGGCTTCGCAGAGCCCCACTGGAAAGACAGAGTGGAGTGCAAGCCCCTTCCAAGCTCCCCTTCTTAGAGCCTTGGGCACCAGAGCTAAGGCAGGATCACCCTCGATGTTCAAGCTAGACCTGTGAGGGGCCATCCTCAGAGCAGCCACTGGAGCAACTCTAAAGGCTTCTGCCCTGAAGCAGACTCACTGCCCAGACAATCCTGACAGTCCACACACACTGGTGCCCGAAGTGCCTTCCTGAGCAGTGGCCAGCGAGGCACACCGTGGCAGTTCTGGGGCTTGGTGGCTGGGCAGCAGGCTCCTCTGTACGTGCTGCCATGAGCAAACCCACCAAAGTCTGGTATCGTTTGGCCTCCACCCAGGCCCACAGTACCTTCTTTGTTCCCTACTTCTGAAACGTGTGGCATGAACAACCTGTCATTCTTCTGTCATTTAAAAAGAAAAAGACAGTGACCCAAAGCTATGTGTGTTATGAAGCCCTCAAGGAGACTCGGTGCAGGTGCTCGCTCCCTTGGGACGCTG